TTGACCAACACACAGAAGCAGCTTAGCTGTCCCCAAATGATCCTTCACTAAACCCCCCCCCCGGCCCGGCCGTGTGCTCCGTGCCACGCCGCACTCGGTCTGTCCCGCCAGTATTTTTATTGAAGGATCATTTGGGGACAGCTAAGCTGCTTCTGTGTGTTGGTCAACTGCTCTCATACAACGAGAACCCCAATAAAAAACAAACGTCATTGGAGTGCGTGTGCCGCGTGGTCCTTTCCTGTCCCGCAGCTCGCTGTGCTTCTCCCCAACGAGCGGCGTTGGGAAACCAATGGGCTTTGGAAGCACCCCCAGCAGATGGGATCTCAGGGTCAGTTTCAGCTCTTGTTGGGGCCGGGGCTCTCTGTGCCATGGGGCACGGTGCTGGGCGCTGAGATGTGGGGATGCCTGGGGCACTGAGGTGGGTGGCGGGCTGTGGGGCTGCAGGCTGGGGAGCAGCAGGGCTCGGTGCAGCCCTGCAGGGTATTTTTAGCAGGGCCATGTGTCACCTCAGCTGCCACCGCAGTTGGGGGCGGAGGGGGAGGCGCAGGCAGCCCCACACCGCGCCGCCGCTGCCTCCTGCGCTCTCGGCTCGCTGGGGTCCCGGCGTGGGCCCGCTGCCCCCCGGCACCGAACGCAGGTACGGGTGATCCGTGGGGGTCTTTGGGGGCGTGGGGTTGGGCCGGGGGTCCATTGGAACCTTTGGGCTGTGCTGCAGCCCGGGCTGGGCCCCTCGGCTATTTTTAGGTGGGAATGAAGAGCGATAGCGGCAGCACCGCTCCAGGGGTGGCTTCCAGCAGCGCTCCGGGCTGGAGGCTGTGGGGAAATGGGGAAGGGGCTCCTGCCAGGCCCTCCAAGGGGGCAGTGGGACAGGACCCCCCCCCCCCCCCCTTGGCAGCCCCAGTGTGGGGAACGGAGCCACACGGCTGTGGCCCAAGTGGGGCTCTGTGCTGCTCCCATCTTGGATGGCTGAGGTGCTGAGGGTGATCCTGACCCTTCTTTGTGCTCTGCTCTGTGCCGTGGATTCCCCACGGGTCCACCTTGGCTGTGGGCGTGGGGTGGGCTGGGGGCTCTCTGTCTGTGGGGCCGCACTGTAGGTCCACGCTCCAGGCTGGTGTGGGGTCAGTTCTGGTTCCCCATGGTCTCTGGGGCAGGCGGCAGACAGGGCACGTGGCGCCCGGGGCCATTGCCCAAGAAGGCAAGTGGCATTCCTCCACCGGGCTCCCGCACTCCTGCCCTTTACTGTACAAGGCGATAGGGCCCCAGGGCTGCGGTCTGCACGGTGCGTGAATGATCCCAACAGGTGAGGCTGGGTTCAGCCCCAAGCGGGGCCAGGCACTGTTGCGCCCGGTGCCACCGACGCCGCTGTGACGCTGCCACCGGGGCTGCACGTGGCCGTGCTCTCCGATGCTGTAAAACGACACGGCCCCTCTGTGGCCGCTCCTGCCCCGGTGCCAGCTGGGCTATGGGGTTCCTATAGGGTTCCTGTAGGGCCCCCGGTGGCGGCTGCTCCTCACTAACTCTCTCCTCTCTCTCCCCCTCACCCTCCGCTCTCAGTAAAGCTCCATCCCGGTTCCATCATGGCCATCTCCTCGCGCCTCGCGCTCTGGGAGCAGAAGGGAAGTGTTGGTCCTCATGTCCCCATGTCCCTGTGCTGCACGTCCCCGCGCTTGCCTTGTCCCCAGGCCTTCCGAATGGGCATCACTTCTCAGCCTGAATTTACTGCTCTGAGCAATGTCTGTTGTTCGGGTCTCCCTGCAGGGTTGCTGCACAGGGCTGGGGCAACACAGGGCTCTGCACGCTGCAAACAGCTCCATGCCCCGCAGTGCTGGAGCTGCCATGCCCTCAGCAGCACGTGGGGCTGTTCTTGCCGCTTGTCCTGCTGCTCTGCGCAGCCCCTCACCCGGTGCCAACCTGTTGCCCGTGGCCTCGCTGCACGCTAAGTGATGCCCAAAAAACAAAGCTTGGCTCAGCTGTTGCACACAGCCGTGCTGCCAACATCCCTGCAGTGCTGCTGGGCTGCGCTGGGCTGTGCATTCCCATAATCCAACTTCTGCTTCTAACAGATCCGGGAGGAGGACCGGGGCCCACCGCCATCCGCTCCCCCTCTACTCCTCTCTGTCATTCCTGGTGGGTTCATCAAGCAGCTCGTCCGTGAGACTGAGAAGGAGTCCAAGGAGGCGAGGCTGAAGAAGGCGGCCAAGGCCAGTGGGAAGGAGGAGGTGAGCAGCCATTGCACTGCACTGCAGGCGGCCAGGGATGGCTGGGGCACTGCATGTCCCACCTTGGCCTCGGGTCAGAGCATTCTCCTTCTCTTGGCAGCCTGTGGTGGAGGACAGTCCAGCCCAGAGCAGGGATTCCCCAGCTGCCAAAGGAACTGTGGTCAGTGTGGGGAAGTCCTTGCAGAACGGGCTGCAGGCAGGTGGGCAGGGGGGCAAGGGGACACCAACACACACAGCGCTGCCCCCCGGGACGGCTGCGCCTAGCTCCGATCCCAGCAAAGCTCCCACGGTGGCACAGAGCCCTCGGTCAGAGGGTCCTCAGGCAGTAAAGCCACAGAGCCCTGAGAAGAAAAAAGGAGGAGAGGACAAGAGCCCCAAGGCTGCATGCCCTGGGGGGAGCCCCCCATCTACAGCCCCAGCGATCAGCAAGGGCCCCCAGCACTGTGGCAAAGTGAAGGAGGGGGACGTGCCCAAGGGGAAGGGTCCAGAGGGCACCAAGAAGGAGAAGGGAGCAGCCCTGAGTGGCCAACAGTCCTCCAGCACAGCAAGCACCAAGAGGGAGCTGGGGCTGGGCAAGAAGGAGCTGGAGAAGATGAAGAAAGATGTTGGAGGTGGGAAGAAGGAGCCGAAGGAAATGAAAGAGCCTGCAAAAAGCACAAACAAGTCAGAGGGGGCCAAGAGGGAAGCAGGAGGCACTCGAGAAAAGCCTGAAGGTGTGGCAAAAGGAGTCGGGAAGGCAAAGGGAGAGCCTCGAGAAGGAAAAGAGGCATCGCAAGGAGGTGAAGAGGCACTGGCAGAGAGCAAAGCAGCACCTGGGGAGAGTAAAGAGGAGACAGGAGAGAGCGCAGACCAGGAGCAGGTAATGCCTGCAGCTGTCGCCCTGTGCACAGTGCTGTCCTGGTGTCATGCAGCTCTCCTGCCCTTGTGGCTGTGGCTGCAGGCAGTCCTTGTGGCTGTGGTGCTCCAATCCAGCTCCCTGCAGCGCTGCTCTCTCCTCCTGCAGGCTCCCAAGGATGTGTGGTACGAAGCGGATAAAGTGTGGCTCGTGCAGCAGGATGGCTTCGTGCTTGGTAAGCCCTCAACTCACAGCACTGAGGGCCAGAGGGGCCTTTGGTGTGCCATGGCACGGCACTGTGTCAGTGGTTTATGGTTGCCATGTTGCAGCCACGCAGCTGAAACCTGATG